AATAGGAAGACAATATCGCCCATCCCTCGGTACACACACGGAACGGTCTTGAGAGGGGATATTGTAGTCATATTTTTCAATCATTTTTAAGGTCTCTACCTATTACACCTTACCATACTAGGATCGTAACCGTATCGACACATACAAACAAATATTCTTTGCATGTTTTGATATGCGACAACGCCCACTAGACCGTTCCGTCACCGGCCAACACCGTAGCGTGCCATGACAGGACCGTCAACAATTTCACGGCGAGAATATTTTGCAAGTACCGACACGCACCGTCCATTACAAGCTATGTTATATGTAAGGAAAAAACGCTGTTGGTTCGCTGCAGTGGGCCCAGTAGTGACCGGAGTGCTTTCTTTCGTGCCTGACACGTTCCTGTTATGGTCATGGTATGGTACGCTGTTGTAATGGGCAGTGACCTTTATTGATCGGGACGGTGGTGTAGCGGTCTATCGCGCTTATATTCATAGGCAAGTTTATGAGTCTGAGACTGCTGGGTTTCGAATCCCAGACCAGACCATGTGGATTTTTAATTAAATTGCATGGTTCGGTTTAGGATTTGATGTGTGGCGTATTAATAGAAATTCAATTTCTGTTGATATGACATGCATATTAAAAAAATTCGCCATACATTACCGTCTCGATGATGGTGGGTGAGGTTTTCCGGGTTTTCCTCACCTGTAAGTCAAATGGCACCATCAATCATCTTTAAGTCGCCCCGGAGCGCCACGGCAAATAATAATAATAATCGCCGTCCCTTCCCCTACACAAGTCGTTCAGTCGACTTCAGGGGTTGAAATTCACTCGTAAGGGGGTGAATTAGGGAGAGTATTATTATTACAGTTCATCAAATTTCTAGAGGTGTTCGACGCCCAGACAGAGAACGCGCTACGTGTGACTAAGATAGCTATTGTACAGTCTGCTAAACAAGTTATTTTAAATAGTTTTTAATATTTTTAGGTAATTAAATTTTAAAAGTGTGGAATAGTTTAGGGATTAAATTGGTCTGATTGGACTTTCTTAGAACGTTTTTAAAAGCAGCTAAAGATAGTATGTAGAATTGAAAATAATTATTATGCCATAAAAGGTGTTTTGGAATTCATTCAACCTTTTGAAATTGAGTCAGAAAATATAAATTTTATAGGATAGCGGAAAATACCTATAATTTTTTTGTAGGCCTTTGTAAATCGTGGAAATAGTTTATATTTTATTTCTACCTTATTAAGGAAAATGGTACCTATTATTAATAACGGTTGTTTCTGAAACATTACTAAAATTTTCGAAATTTTGTTTTTCTACAAAATAATAAACTATACTATTTAGAAAAAAAAATATTTCTCTTATAATTTTATAAAAAATAACAGGGGAATATTTACATTTCTTGATCTATTAAACAAAACGATAAATTATCTCGACGAATGACACCATGTTCTAGTACGGAAGCTAGCTTTACATTTTTGTTGGTGGTTTCATGGGTTTCATATCAATTTTTTGTAATTGTAGTTTACACGTACATATACCTCTTAACACTTGTTTGCTTTATTAAAAAAGTGTGTTGTTGTGATTTACGTCGAAATAAGTCAAAAACAACTTGAAACCCCATATAAAATCAAAAAGGAGAAACGGAAAAAAATTGAGCCTGTAAATGAACACAACTCAGAAACAAAAATAGCTATCTAATAACAAAAAAATAAAATTTGATTCTTGTGCAGCTTCATCTATATCATTAACTGTTTTTGGTTTTTTAATGGTTTTTCTTGGTGATGAAAATTTTGATATCTCACGGTTATCGATTCTTTTTTTCTCTCCAGAAATGCGGACGACAGTGTTTTTAGATACTCCTGTGGCTGCAGCAACACGATCATTTACATTTTTAAATGGTATTGAAGGTGAATTAAAGTTCCCTTCTCTTCTCATAAACTCTATAACATTGGCTATTATTTCGCGAGATTGACTGTTAATCACGCGGCCTCTTAATTTGCTATTAAACTCCATACTTAGGTTCTATTAAACTGTAATGAGCAAAAAACACAAACGAAAATAAAAGAAATGTTTTAGCGAAATTTACATCTGACATTTACGTCTGAATGAAATAGTGAAATACTTGATGCGCAGAGTGTACTTTCATTGCGTAAATCCGTCGGGATGCCTGTCAGTAGTGCTTTCTCTGTCTAGCCGTCGAAAGCCTCTAGAAAATTGATGAACTGTATATTATTATTATTACTCTCTGCCCACTACAGCGTACCATACCATGACCATAACAGGAACGTGTCAGGCACGAAAGAAAGCATTCCGGTCACTACTATGCCCATTGCAGCGAATCAGCAGCGTTTTATCCTCACCTACAACATAGCTTGCTATGGACGGTCCGTGTAGGAACCTGCAAAATATTCTCGCTGTGAAATTGTTGACGGTCCTGTCATGGCACGCTACGGTGTTGGCCGGTGACGGAACGGTCTAGTGGGCATTGTCGCATATCAAAACATGCAAAGAATATTTGTTTGTATGTTTCGATACGGTTACGGTCCTAGTATGGTAAGGTGTAATGGGCAGAGACCTTTATACTCGAAATTACTTTGCTAATTTAACAATTACTGCGCTTTATATTAAGTTCAATTTTATAAATTAGTTTTTGATCTTGTTAGGAAAAAGATTTACTACAACTTAATAGTAATCGTTTAAAGAATAATGCATGTTTGATAATGATTATTCTCTATTAAAAGTTATCATTTTTTAACAAATTTAATAAACATCATAAATTTTTTTGACGAAATCGGCCATTTTTTTCAAAAAAGTATGCTAACCCTGGGCTAGTGCCACTTATTCCCTTTGCACATAAAACATTTATAGCATTATCTTTAAAATTGTGTCTTCTATGATTAAACCAGAATGCTTATTATTTATACAAATTTCTTGAGATTGTTAGTGGAGCAATCACTCTTAATATTTTTTTTCGGAGGAAAAAAGGGTTCTTCTTTTTGTTTTGTGTGTTAGTTAATAGCGCTAGTTAAAGTTACCTCCATTTTTCAGGCTTTTGAATATGCTTCCACCTTGGGAATTCTAGAGAGAAATCGTCAACCCTTGATATTCGCTCCGTGCGAAGTCATGGAAAGGGAAGCAAAAGCGATACTAGCGCTAGCTGTGGATAATTCGTGCATTTTAGGGCGATATTTTGTAATTTTGGCATATCAAATACACGTATACATTTTACTTTTTTTCAGAAAACTAAGTAAAAACAATATAATAAGCAACCGGAGTTGCTGTGTTGAAAATTGTACAAATACTAGAAAAAAAACAGTGAAACTTAAACAAAAAATTTCAGTAGCAAAGTAGAAATTAAATCAAAGAAATAAATGGATAGGTGTACAATAAGAAGCAAAATTACCTTTATTTTTGTAATAATAACAGTAATGCTGGAAATAGTAGACATCAGAAACTTAAAAGGTTTTAAATAAACAATAAATTATCATTTTACGATGTTCTTTAATATCCCTTTATTCTTAAATGTTCATTCAGCAAGGACCAGATTTCAGGATTTCTGCCTTTGATTATTATAATGTGGCTGAAATGCAATTTTGTGACTTCAGTTTTAATCATTCATTCTATGTTTTTGTTCGAACAAAAATGAAAATATAAATCACGATCTTTTTTTTATACATTTCAACTTCACGCTAATAGTATTAAATGTTTTTTTTTTTTAATTTTGACCTCTGAGATTTTGACAGAATAGTCTAACTCTTTAATGACAACTTATTAAACTTAGGCAACTTCTCATACATTTTTCAGTAAATACTGTTGCCTGCCTATATTTTATTATTGATTTTTATTGATTATTCATAATTTTCTTTAATTTAAGTGATAAAAATATATAATATTAATAAATTATTGTTTTACTTGTTTTAAAATCCATATACTTTTATTAAAACTAACATATATACTTCTTAATTACGAATTTTAATAAAAATTGCATTTATCAGTATACGCAGAAATAGTCCATTAGTACCAAAACGAATTGGCGCTGCTGTCGCACACGGAGCGAATAGAGATAAATCGGAATTAAAGTATAACTAACAGAGAATACCGAATTATTTTTGTAGCGACTCGTACGTAGCATATTTTTCCACTGTTTTATTGTTACAGGACTCACTAAGAGTATATTTGTTTGGGAAAGGCTATGTAATTTACTTTATTTGGGTAATAGTACTTTAGTTATAAATGCCAGTAAACAGGATAGAGACTGTGTCTTTGAAAGACGGTTCGTATAACTTGTATTTTTAAATATTATATTGTTTAAGTACAAACCGTTCTTTTAAAAATGGATAGCCATGTTTAATGTTTTAACTATATAATTTGTTTTTTTTTTGTGTGTTTCAATTCAATCAATTTAAATCGTTTACATAGTACTTACCGGTTTAATAATTTACTCCATTTGATTTTTATTTATTTTATCATTATATCTCTATAATTTGATCTAATTAGTTTTATTTGCAGACCAATGTTTATTTTAAAATCAATCCAATTGACTATTGTTTTGCCATAGTTATTATTCATTGTATCATTTTGTTTGTTAAGTATTTTTCAGTTTTATTGTTTATTACATATTTTATAGTTTGTAACCTTTTTTTATTTAATATTAATATTAAGAATACCCTAGTAAGGTTAACAGAAGAATGTGGATATAAAATGTTCCCCATTAAGTCCACAAATATTACAATAAGCCATGGCCGAACCACCCAGTAAGGCTAATTAAATATATGATAGAAACCCCAGTAGGCAAACCCGCTCTAAACTCGAAATAAGCAGCTAAGAATAGAAACTATAAGTATCAATTTTCAGTTATAGCGCAGCACATTCTACTAACATAGAAATATAATAAAAGTTTATTACTATTATATTATAATCATCGATTAATTAACTTGCCGCCACGTCCTTCAAACTGCTTATTGTAAATCATGTATTCCACGTACCTAGTAGTAAAATGTGTGACTTACCTACGGTAGTTAACACAGTCAAGGAGTAGAGAAACGCTTTAGCAAAACTCCATTCGTAATTATCGGCAGCATGCTTTCCTCCATATTTGACGACCTGCAGAGGCTGTTGTAAAGCTATTTCTTCAGACATCGATTTGATCAACTCCTCTTGAAATCTAGTGATTTCTTGAGCAGCTAATCTGGTCCAATTATCCCTGGAAAATAATATCATATTTAAAAATCGGGCTACACTAAAGTCGCCTGTAATCAGGTTATAGTATATTAGATTACGAGTGTGGAAAATCATTTTTCACACAAGTGATGTACAATATTTTTCCTACGACCACAAAATAATTTCATCAAAAAATGTAAAACCAGGTTATTATTATAATAATTAAAATGTATTTAAAAAAGTAATCAATATTAATTGTATTTATTCAGTTTTCATATTTTTCGAAACAAAAATAAAAAAACAAAAAAAAACAAAAAAAAATTCTGCAACCACCAAGTTTTAAACGCGGGCCCGCCCACCCTTTCTGTTATCCAAAGTTCAAATTGCACTACCCTAGAACCTGAGCTAATGGGTCTTATTTCAAATGAATTTTTAATTCAATTTTAAGTTTAAACAGAATAAAAAGCCAAAATAATGAGATGTACGAGGCCTGTCTAAAAAGTATCTGACCTTAATTTTTTCCGCGCAAAGTAGTGATTCTAAGGCCGCGCCACTGTGCACGGTGGAAGGAGGAACCTTAATACGCATGCTTGAATTGTTTCACCGCGTTCGCTTGTGCAAGTCGCTGGCTGGCGGGCGCCAAGTAAGGTGCTGTTCTTAGTGTTCGTCAGATTTAGTTTTCTCGCAAGGTGACTGAACGAATTGAGCAAAGATACTGCATCAAATTCTGTCAAAAGCTTGGTGATTCTCAAAGCCAAACAATTCGTAAGATTCAGCAGGTGTTTGGAGAAGATGCGATGGGTGTAACACAAACTAAGGAGTGGTTCAACCGATTCAAAGATGGCCGCGCATCAGCGGAGAGTGAGCAGCGTTGTGGCAGGCCCAAAACGGCTCAGAGTGCAGCTAATATTGAGAGGGTGCGAAATTTGATAATGGCAGTGCGGGAGATTGCAGAAGAGGTTGGAGTAAGTAAAGATTCTGCACATGCAATTTTGCGTGAAAATTTGAACATGTACCGGGTGGCTGCGAAATTCGTACCCAAGTTGTTGTCGCCGGAACAAAAAGATCTTCGTTTTGACATTGCACAAGACCTTCCGAACACCGCCAACACTGATCCTGGGTTTCTGAACACCGTGATAACTGAAGATGAGTCATGGGTGTACGGGTACCAGACAGAAACAAAAAGACAGTCGTCGCAATGGAAGCATCCCAATTCTCTAAGGCCGAAGAAAGCGCGTCAGATGCGAAGCAAAATGAAAGTAATGCTGGCTGTTTTCTTTGATGTATGTGGAATTGTGCATCACGAATATGCACCGGAAAGAAAAACAGTGACAAAGGAGTACTATCAAGATGTTCTCCGGCGACTCCGTGACGCAATTTGGCGCAAAAGACCAGACATGTGGACGGCGAACAATTGGCACTTGCATCATGACAAAGCCCCTGCACATTCATACCAATTGATCAACATTTTCTTAGCCAAACATGGAATTAAAACCGTTCGTCAACCTCCCTACTCTCCAGACCTGGCTCCTTGCGACTTCTGGTTGTTTTCAAAATTGAAGACGCCACTGAAAGGATCCCGTTTTGAGAGTAGAGAAGAGATAATGCGATACGCGACGAGGGAGCTGAACACCATTCTAAAAAAAAATTCCCGAAGTGTTTCCAGCAGTGAAAGGATCGGTGGGCTAAGTGTGCGCAAGCTACTTTAAACGGGATTAGGGTCCCAACTCCGTCAGTTATTCGAAATATTTTTTCTGGCCAAAGGTCAAATAGTTCTTAGACAGGCCTCGTATGTGGTTGTATTAAAATTATTTTAATAATTCCAAAAAATAAATAACTAGGATCTAAGTTAATCGTCAATTTTAATAATTTAATCATCATATTGATTTTACTATTAATATGGACATAACAAAATCAAAATAGAAATGATTCGTTTGACATTATGTGACAGCTGATGCGGAAATGTAAAACGATGTTTATATTATAATAAATAAAATGAATTAAAAAAAAAAAACAATCAATAATAATCGTATTTATTTAATTTTCATATTTTCTAAACAAAAAAAAAACTAAAAAACAGAAGAAAAAAATAAAAAAACAAAAAAATTCTGCCCCTGCAAGGATTTGAACGCGGTCGCTCGCCAGGTCTCAAATAACAAAGTTGATAAAGTTTGATATTCTACCACCCGAGCCAATAGGCCTTGCGTCAATTGAATGATCTAATCGGTTATGTGTTTAACCAAAATAAAAACAAACATAACTTAGTTATTTTAAAATTATTTTATTAATAATTGTTAAAGATATCCTAGGAGGTAAAACATCATGGTGCTATTCACATTGGATCTGCAAAGCCAAATTATATACCATTTCAAGTTAGTATGGTATTGTCAAAATATATATATTTCAAACAAAAATATATATATTTCAAACACATGGTACTGGTAGTATAAAAAGAAAAACCACAGAAGACCTTCATAAAAAATCATCAAAGATTATTTATAAGGAGTTACTTAACCATAGAAACTATGTCGAAACAATTTCCGTAAAAGCTCAAACACACATTCGAACAAGGTTCTTGAATGATGTTATTCTTTTCTTTGTTTGACGAAGATACTTTGACAAATTTTTTTAGTAATTACAGTATCGTCTTTTGTAACATCCACGCACCCTTTAATTTTTATTTTTATCAATGTTATTACAGATAGCCTGATAAAGGGGTTCAAATTATCGAACTCCCCTAATCAGGTTGACTAGTAACCTCAGGGTCGGGTTCCTGTAAATAGAGAGAAGAAAATGATTGATAGAATGTGAACGGGCCTTTATTATCTTATAACCTCTTGTTGTCAAAATTGAAATGATAACGATAACCAACAAATTACATGTATACGAAATGTGGACTATTATTAGGAACAAAAGAAAATTATTATGTACAAGGCGTTCCCACAACTATTCTTACCTTTAACTTACATACCCTTATAATATATAACCCTCCAAGTGGGTGGTAAAAGTGCGGTTACGTAGAGTACTCTTCGTATTACAAAAGAAAACCCGGTAGGTAGATATTACAATTAATTAGTATATATACAAAAGAAATTGAGTATTTAATCAGGTATTTAGCTCTGTTTGTTGTAGGCTGTGTCTCAACAACCTAATCTCGTTAGTAGATGGGGTCCCTCCGAAATATAGAGTTAGAAAAAGGAACCGTCTTACTTGTGATTAAGTGAACTCAATGAAGGACGATGTCCAGTTAAGTAGCTTCCTCTTGATGTCGGTAGGTAGACCGCTATGAAAATTACTTCGTATTCGGTTATCTTATTGTCTGTGCTCTGTTGCTAGCACGCAAACGGTGAAGTGGAGAAGCCCTATTCTATATGGAGAGGGGAGAGAACTTGCACACAGTCCTTAGAAGTATTTTTCTAATAAAAGCGTTACTCAGAATTGTAAATCGGAGCGAGCGAAGGAAGGAACGCACTAATGAAAGGAGCGAACCAAGGAGGTCCTTGATGGTATATGACCTTTTAGTTATTAATTTATTAAATTAAATTCACACTTTTAGCCGATACTATATCCACCACTAGGTGTATGAATCACAAAGATCACTAACAATATATCGGACTAAAGGAATCTATGGTTTTTGCACAAGAATAAATCCTAGAAAATCCTAGTTGAAATCTTGGCACATGCCACAATCAGAATCCAAGCAAAAACTGGGCCAGGAAGGAAGTTCCACAAAATGGCCAACCAAAAGTCAATGTCTTAGCAAGAAGGCCCTGACTACAAAAGGGTAATAGGATAATTTCTGGTAAGACTGTGGTCATTATTTATAAATTTAGAAGAATCTGACAACTGAAGGAGTTAAAATTGACATGTAAACAATATCAATAAAAATTAAGCTTTTTAGTAATTAAATGAGCTAGAGTTATTGTTCAAAGTAGCGAAATATATTTACTTACATTATAAATTATTTATTAAGGTATTAATTATTATTGAATATACTCCGGGTGAGATTATACTCTATTACAAAACATTATTTTATATTTTACTACAAAATATGTTTGATAAAAATGGATATTTTATAAATTTATTTAATGGACCCATTTTATTGATTTGTATACATTTATATACCGCTCACTCTTAAATCGAAAGGTAACTAAAGAGATTAGCATAGGTTATAGTAGAATAGGTAAGTAATAGATTAGTTTAGTAATTAGAGTAGCTTAGGGTAAGCTAGAGATTAGCATAGGTTATAGTAGAATAGGTAAGTAATAGATTAGTTTAGTAATTAGAGTAGCTTAGGGTAGGTTAGAATTAAATAGAAGTAGAATAGTGTACATAGTTAAGCGTAGGATAGATTATAAGTAGAATAATGTAAATAGTTAAGCGTAGAATAATTAAGAATAGTGTAGTTTAGTCTAGTTTAGAGTAGCTTAGAATAAGATAGGCTAACAAATAAAATAAGTTAGAATAGTGTAAATTAGGGTATTTTAGACTGGAATAGATTTAGGTAGAATAAAACCCGTAACAATGTCCTTCTAAATCTGCAGATTAATACGTATATAAAAATTTAATGTAGTTCTGAACCTGCTAGAAACGCAGATCTATCAACTCGTAGTAAACAAAGACTAATTAATAAAAAAATAGAGGAATACAAAAATGGTGAAATTTCCCGGTTTGCATTTGTAAACTATTTTTCTTGTGTAAAGTATTAGAAATACTTCAGTTCCTATGACAAAAGAGTATCGCATTTTAGTCGAAGCATTGAAGCAAAAAAGTTCGGAATTTTTTAGACTAAGACGGATCGGAATGCGGTTTTTTGCATTCGCACTCCGTTCAAAGATAATTTAATTGCTGAAATGAATCAGAAATTAAAACAGTCGAAAAAACATGCCAAGAAAAACATTGAGGAGATTCTTCAGGGGAGTAGTCCTAACTCGGCGAATGGAAATAAAGAAAACAAACAACAGAAAACCGAAAAAAATAAGAAAAAAGAAAAAAAGAAAACTGACGAAATCATTGCCTGTCCTGCTGGTGCAGAAGAATACATAGATCCGCCAACAGAAGACTGGATAGAATGTGGAAGCTGTTCTAAGTGGTGGCACGAGCAATGTACAGCTTATGAAAATAAAGGCCCTTTCATTTGCGATGTTTGCGTTGAGTGAATAGTGATGTAGGAATTTGCCCCATGCTAACTGGAATTTTGCCCCACTAGTGGGGCAAATGTCCGATTCTGCACTACTTTACTTTTTTAGAGTTTTTGTTTTTTTTATTAATGCATTTCGCGAAAAACATGTTTATGTGTTATAAATAAATGTTGTTTTATTATTACACACAGTTGGTTTTTTATTCATGTAATATATGTGGTCACCAGGTGTATTCAAGTCTTAAGTGCGTCGTTTTGCCCCATGCTACTTTAATACCTTTTAATAATAGAATAAGTCTTAATCAAGTTTGTTGATGTCAAAAACCAAAACAGTTTTTTGGTTCTAGCTCTTAGACCATAGCGTATGCTTGATCAAATAGAAGTATGCAATAAATGTGATCACTTACCTGTACAATATATTTAAACTAACAGTAATATCCCAAATATTTTCGACGGTTTTCGCTCTGGCTTCATCCGTCCTGGCTTTGAGTTCGGCACTATGATTAGATTTCTTACTGCTACTATTGATATTTGTTGAAAGAGAGGTTGTGGCTAGTATTTGCTGGTGCTGGTAGCTACTGCCACCTTCGATCGATAGAAAAATGACGGAGCCTATTAGAGTGTAGCCGAAGAGTAGCACACATATTCCTGAAAAAATAAATTATTGTTATGTATACTATTTTTTTGACGAACTTAAAAATTGTTATTTAGTAATACAAAATACAACAGAGTAAAATGTGTTGTCTAACTTTCGAATTTTAAGGCACTTTAAATTTTGTGGACTTCTTGTATGGTTGTGTGAATACGAAATACTACATATAAGCAAAATGTTGTCACCCTATCCATTTCGTAACGATAAATACAATACAAAATCATCGTTGTTTTAAATGTAACATCACCAGCAATAATAAACTCTTGTAGATTTGCGATTAAGGGGTCTATTCTGTAAAAATTTGGTTAAAACTAACCCTGGATTATAAATATAACTGGATTTTTTTTTAATTTTGTATTCTGTATGATTTGATAAAAATTATAACTTGTCACTAATAAATAAAGTAATGATTACAGTGGCGGGGCAAGACCTAAATTTTATGTGGGCAAGATACATTTTTGCGAGGCCCTCTGGTGACGCAAGAAGACGGATTTCATATAGAGAAATAAAATTGAAACTTTTATTTATAAAAATGCTAACATCTCTTAGACTTTAACTAATATTATTAAGTAATTATTACTAGCAGTAAAGAATTACAGAAACATAAATTTCCTGCTTTTAGCTTTACTGAATTCCTGTACCATAATCCAGATAAGATGCTATATCTGCTTCAGTAGATAAAATTGACAATGCTAAAAGTCTTTGCTAGTCCATTGTACTTCTTAATTTTTTATTAGTTTTAATTTTGAAAAGCTCCTTGCAGCAGAAGTTGTACTTACTGGTACTGTTAACAAAATTTGAATGACAATATAAATATTTGGATAAACTTTCAACTTATTTTCTATTGTATATTGAAGCAGCTGTTTTACACCTTTAATGAAATCAAGTATATTTGGGATCAATATCTGTAAATCTTCATAAAATTCGTAAGGTTTGAAAGCACTGCTCTCACCCACTCGAGAACAGTCCACTTTAAATAATTTTAAAGGTGATGCTTTTAAAAACAAATACAGAAATAAGTCAAAAATCATATAAATGGGGGTCTTAGGAAAGAAATAGAAAAGAAAAAAGAAAAAAGGAAAAAAGAAAAAAAGAAAAAAAGAAAAAAAGAAAAAAAGAAAAAAAGAAAAAAAGAAAAAAAGAAAAAAAGAAAAAAAGAAAAAAAGAAAAAAAGAAAAAAAGAAAAAAAGAAAAAAAGAAAAAAGAAAAAAGAAAAAAGAAAAAAGAATAAAGGAAAAAAGAAAGCGCAAACAAAAACGCAAAAGACGCACCTTTCAAATGATTATTAGAGGAGAATAAAAAAAGTAAACCAAATCGGAACGTTCTGTTACATACAGTGTGGAAAAGTCAAATGGAATAAATTCATTATTTCGATTACTGTACATATTTATAGAAAATCCCGAAACACGTCAAATTTAAATTTAAAATTGACATTCTTTGAAGTAAAAATGTGATCCCTACCTTCAACCCCCTTTGAATAACAGTTGCAACCCCTAATTTTTTATATGGGAAGTATATGCTTGTGATATATCATTTGAAAGGTCTTTTCATTCTCTACCAAAAAATGTTATTGTTTTTAAATTTATTGCAAAATTTAACATAAAAAAAAATAAAATCATCTTATTACCGAAATTCTCTAGAGTACCTACACTACTATTTCCCGTTTCAGTCTTTATAATAAGACAGTACCTAAGCAAAAACAATATCAGTGTTCTTTTTTAATATCAATTTAAAAAATCCTTTAAAAAACTATCATAGCAATGTTAGTTTGTTTAAAACGCCTTAGCAAATTGGTTTGTAATAATTATAACTGTAGGATATTGTCAATATTATAATTGTCGTTTGAATTTCATAAAAATGGTTAGATTAACAGAAATGCATAAAATAACAGTTTTACAGATGATTGGTTACGGAGATAACACCCGAACACAAATGGAAGTTGCTCGCCTATTTCATGAAAAATTTCCGAATTTGCCGCCTATATCCCAAGGTACAATTAGTAAAATAGAGAAGCAATTTCGCGAATTTGGACATGTTAAGCAGATGAAAAAAACAGCTGCCAATGCACTGAGTGATGATATCAAATTAGATATGATGCTTGAGTTTGAGGAAAACCCACATACATCTAGTAGACAAGCATCTGCAACATTTAATGTCAGCCATACATCGATACTAAACATATTAAATGAAAATAAAATGCATCCCTATAAAATGATACCGAATCAGGAACTCATGGAAGACGATTTTGATAGCAGAACAAATTTTTGCGAACAAATGATGGAAATGTTGAATAACAATACCATCCAATTAGAAAACGTTATGTTTTCTGATGAGTGCACTTTTTCCGTTAACGGTCATGCTAATCGTCAAAATTGCCGCTACTGGTCAACGGAAAATCCTCACTGGATGAGAGAGGTCCATACACAATACCCTCAAAAGGTTAATGTTTGGGCAGGGATTGTTGAAAACCATATTATTGGTCCCTTTTTCATTGAGGTCAATTTGAATGGCGATAATTATTTAGCACTACTATAAAATGATGTGTTGCCAAGTTTGGCAAATTTATTTCCTGATCCAGGAAACCCTCAAGTTCCAGCAAATACCATATGGTTCCAGCAAGATGGAGCACCTCCACATTACCAAATCAATGTCCGCCAGTACCTTAACTTAACATTTCCAAATCGCTGGATAGGGAGGCGAGGATCAATAGAATGGCCAGCAAGATCACCTGATCTTACCCCATTAGACTTTTATTTATGGGGCTATGTGAAAAATATTGTTTACAAAACTAAACCACGTGGTTTAGATGACTTAAGAGAACGAATAATGCTTGCGATTAGATCGGTCACGCCTGATATGTTAATTAACGTTAGAAGACATTTTTATTCAAGATTAGGATGTTGCCAAGACGTTCGCGGTGAGCATTTTGAACATCTACTTCATTGACATTCATATTTTTTACGTTATGAACAATTAAATATTACATATTGAGTCAAACGATATATCACAAGCCTATACATTCCATTTAAAAAATTAGGGGTTGTAACTGTTACTCAAAGGGGGTTAAAGGTAGGGATCACATTTTTACTTTAAAGAATGTCAATTTATAATCTAAATTTGACGTGTTTCGGGATTTTCTATAAATATGTACAGTAATCGAAATAATGAATTTATTCCATTTGGCTTTTCCACACTGTATAATAATTCTATTTTTAGTTTATAATATATTTATATTTGTTTTATAAATAAAGTAGTTATTTTTAATATTCTTGCATAGAACGATTGCCAAAGAGAAGTTTTAAATTGACACACTATTATATGTGCGTAATAATTTTAAAGGTTCTAACCTTAAAACTATTTTTTTTTTACTTATTTTAGTTCAATGGACCGGTTTACTTTTTATTTAATATTTATCCCTTTCAATCGTGGACTCATTCTCACATCAAAATCTGTTTATACAAACAGAAAACAATAAGCGAATATATGGCCATTTACAGGATTCTACAAATTTAGCATACCTACTCAAAGAAAATTGTAGTTTGTGCAACAAGAATAGATATGGACAATCCACTCGAGTTGTACAGTATATTTTTTCTACGACCCACTAACAAAAATCTACAAATTTAGCAAATTATTTTAGGATGTTAAGACAAAATAATTAATTTTAAAATAATTTATGAAAATAAACTTAAAAAAAAAATTTCCCGAGCCCAAATTCGCGTGAAAGGCAGATGATCTGCCCACAGCTCCACGGCCACTTTTGTGATTTTAGTTGTAATACTCGTAAATAAATTAATTTCATAAAGTTTGATAAAAATTTTCAAAATGTTAACCAAATAAAAATAAAAATGCTATTATTGATCGTTTCTACATAAAAATAACTTTCGTTTTAATGTATGTTTAATCTCAATAACCAAAAAATATACTGACAATTAGTTTGACAGAATTATCACTTATTTCAAATTTAAAAAATAATAGCGGTTGGGTGTCCAAAATATGAACTGTGATTGGTGGATTTTATTTGTTGGCAGTGTTCTCACTACCTAGAATGGATATGAAATATATTTGTTCAGTTAAACGCAATAGCATACTTTTTCGTTTTGTAATCTGAGCGTAGATAAGCTAATATCTATGTGGGTGTAGAAAAACGATATTACCTAATTGTTATTTCACTATGGCGCCACTTCGAGAGATATTTATTGGATCAAAAACCGATTTTAATAATGATTAGAATTTAGCATTCTTTCTTATTTAAAATAATACGTTATTCGTTGTTTTTTATATTAAAGTTAAAACACAGAGTGTTTGAAAGTTAACATTCTTTTATATGACTTTTGTTTACATATAGGTAGGTCAGATGTGAGAAGGAAACAAAATAAATATTATTAATAAGTTTAAGAAAGCTACATTAAACCTTTGAGGCGCGAGGCCCTTCAGGCCCCGAAGCCGTAGGCGGTGGCCCACGTCGCCCATGCCTTGCGTCGCTTCTGAATGATTAACTGTCAAATATACTCTTTTTCTTATTTTTAATACTGCATTGGGCTTACTTTCAATTTACGGTTTAGGTATATTACATCATTGCCATGCATATTTTAACTGACGGTTAAAATTAACTTAAACGTAACAGAATAGTCAATTAAATATTAACTTAGGTATGCATATATTTACCTCTTTATCACATTTGGCTGCGACGAGTTGGTTTAATTTAAATAAACATCACCTTAAAATAAGTTTTGGTGTGGTCACCAAAGACACAACAAAGAGCGGCAATAACGAGACAAATCTATACACATCGCCAAAATTATTGGACCCCCTTATGTTTGTCAAAATGAGACAGTATTATTGTAAGTCAAGAAGTGTATTACATAGTACATTTAATTTGGTTATGTATCCAATGCAAATTGGCTGAATTAAATTTTAACTAAACAAGAAAAAAAATACAAACGAAAAATAGTGCATAATAAAATGATTACCAGAATTTGAAATCTAGAAGAAA